TTTTACACTGTTTTTTAACAAACATGTAATTTTCATGTCCAATTACTGGCATAACTAGACCAAGAAGTACATAGAGATGCCCTTGGTTGATTCGATGTTTTAAATCAATTGGTTTTTTGTGTGGAAATTGTTTATGTTCGATTGTACGCATATTCCAATATGTTATCAAACCCGCATTAAATGAGGTTTCACCAAGTTCATTTTGAACTAATGAATCTCGAAGAATTTTAATACTATACAAATGTTCAATAAATGAAATGACCGTTTGTGTTCCACTACGTCGTGTTTCTACCGTTTTATGCATACACTCAGTAAGGTTGTTTGTAGTCATTGGTTTGGTATTGGCCAGATCATATGCATGTAGTGCCCGTCCACCATCGATAAAACATTGCCTCCACTCGTCACAAATCCAGTTTATTTCTAAGTCAGAAGCCAAAAGATCTTTTATATTATTATCTAGTGGCAAAGAATAGACAAAATTTCTATATTCTTTACCCATCATAATAGCTTCTTCATCTGATCTACTTCAGCCTACAATTTTAAAAGCTAATGCTATTGGGTACCGTAATGACCAGTCTATTTTCCATGTTTGAAAATGTTCATCTAAAGTTTCTATAATATGGAACCAACAGAGAATAGTTTCACGAATGAGATCTTGTAGCGCAAGTTTAGTGGGCCGATGTTTGTCTATTATAGCTAATGGATTCCAGTATAAAATGCATTCTCTTTGATGTCAAAAGCCTTTTCCATTTTCTAAATTAATATACTGATAACGATGCATGCAATTAGAGTTATTACATGGAATATTAGCTTGTACTGCTTGAACCGCTATTCATATTATATGATGATTTTCTTTGTCACTAAGACCAAATGCCAATAGGGACCATATCCAGCTTCATCCTCAATAACCATAGAAAGCACAGGTGTTTCTCATTATTTAGATCATACTTTCCGTCTATTTCAAAACAGAAAAACCCACAATCCTGGCCTTGTTGAAGCCATGTCTTATTGCTTACTGTCAATTGGTAGTAATGTTCAGGGCAGTTTTCTGAAACGGAGGTATCATGATGCTGATAATAAAGAACCTTTCCTTGCTCTTTAATTCAGTAGTAACCAATTGATCTAAGATAGTCCACAGACCAGCATTTTCACGTAATCAGACATCATCATGCTCAACTAATCGTTTTAATTGTTGTTCAGTGCATATATTTTTATTAGTTTCACGCACATGTCTAAGGTGTATTTCACTTGTATTATTGTAAGGTGCCAATAATTTTAGTGCAATTTCTATGCCAGAACTGTGGTGTGCGCGGCGTGCCATAATTGCATGGTCATGAGCTTGGAGACTAAGATTTATTCTTG